TTCCGACCCGGACAATTTTAGGGGTCTACAGGGTTTATTTGGGCCTTGGGCTTGAGATCGGTTATGACCTGTTCAGATAGGAGACCTTTGTCTTGGCTGATGTCATGCAGTGCATATCCGATATCAATCTTCGCTATGATGCCGAGTTCGAGTTCGGCTTAGCAGTACGGATAGTACACTTATGATAACATTATTGATATATAAATCCTTTGAATTAATTATCTAAGCAATTAATTAGAGTTTAGATTAATTCATGTGAATGAATATTATTTCTTTTAGCTAGAATGTGCTTCTAAATAAATTTCTAATTGTCTTGTTTAAACATAAGTAATAAATCAATAAGGATCGGTTTTACAAGTTGGACAAGAAAAAATCACAATTCACCTCTCATATTTGTGACTTTCAAACCACTTTAATAATATCTAACAAAAACACTTAAAATAAATGGATTATGTTAACAAATTCCACAAAAGTTTGCCTCCCACCCACACAATATAAAACAAAACAGTAACATGTCTTAATAAGAGTGAAGAGGAATCACTCCCCGTGAAAAAAAAAAAAAAAAAAAAGTCGTTACCATGTCCAATTAAAACCGTGAGCAAGAGAACCATCATCACAATGGTGTACATAGAGGGAGGGGTTGTGCTATGAGAACCACACAAGAATCATTGTACTGTCAAATTAATGTCTCAAGAGTGGGTCACCTTCTATATCCTAGTTGGTGTTGCAACATGTTATAGTTCATCCTAAAGACCCAAACAAACAACTACCAACAACACCATCCAAAAATCATAAACAAATATGAGCCTCAAGACTCTTCAAAGGGGAGGAAATAAAAGCACACGACAGAACAACGTGACACATGATGCGAGTAGGCCAAGTGGAATCACAATCAACATGCTGTACCAATAGTAGTACCCTTCCTTTCTCATTTAATTATATCAATAAAATGACTACATGTTACTAAAAGTTCTTGAGTCAACTATAACACCTTTGATTTTGAGGCAATTAAGAAAAAAAAAATTACCAAGAGCTATTATACGTAAAGCCCTGTTTACAACTTTACATTTATTGCTAGCATCGTTGATAAAAATAAAAATTAGGCCCAAAATACTATGTTTTGGCAAAGACTAAAAATAGAAGCCATTTCCCATTTCCCCAATTGGGTAGTCTTGTTTGGAATTTGGCAACAATATCATCAAACTTACCTAGATATTTTGCAGTGTAATTCATGTGGATAACCCGGCCGCGAAGGCCACTCCGGTGGATGGTAACCAGGCAGACCCGGATATAAACTGGGCCACCGTGAACCGATTTGCCTCGACCCTCGACGTGATGACCCGGTACCCAGGCCATTTGACCCGTTGGCCCACGGCTGCTCCCGGCCCATAATTCATGTACTCTCCATAATACAATGTGTCCAAAGCAAAGTCTCCATTCCACTCCAACCAACCACGAGGACTTATGTGGTCACCCATGTAGGATAACAAGTATACGGTTCTAGAGTACATTTTCCATGGACGACCCAAATAGGTGGGGATGCTGCCCTTAACCGGGGCAAGATCCGGGGCGGGTAGGATCCGACAATTGTGGATGGATATACCCGTATTCTGATTTGGGTCTTTCCTATTTTGGGCCGTGATTGTGTTCTTCTGTTGGGCCATGGGCTTACGTGAATAAATGTTGCACTTTTGGAAAACCACGGCAGCATTGCCGAATATGAAGTCCACAGTGCCATAAATGTCACATTCACGGAAAAATTGACGGTTAGAGTGCACATAGCAAGTGTCTTGGTAACCCACAATGTTGCACCGGTACACCACGGCGTGGTCAGCTCCGACGCGGAGGGCCACGGCTTGGTGTTTTGACGGTCCAGCATAGTTCTCGAAGGTGATGTCTCGTGCAATGAATCCAGCACCACTAGCAGCTGTGTAATAAGAATGGTGTCAAAGAAAAATATTGTAATAAGAACAATTAACAATTAAATTGGAATAAATCAAAGGGACTAAAATTATTTTATTGAATACGATTGATCACATGAAATTGTTGATGATTTTGTCTTGAAACGCGTGACTAGGCAACGACCAATAATTTAATTTTGTTAATTTAATTAGCAGGAAGTCATTAATGTTTGGGTGTATTTTATTCCACGTTCAATATGGTCCATATAGGGGGGATAATGTCCACCAACGTATAGTACATGTGTTAATGATAATTATGAAAATGGTATGATGACAATAAAGTCAAGAAGTGAATGATCATTTGTTATGACAAAGGCAATAGAACGCGTAAGGTTTGTGCAATTGCACGCTTTAATTAATGTTTTGAGATAAGAAAGACTGTTTACTCTTGAGCCTGTAGGTTTCTTTAAACTCCATCAACCAACTAACGCTTGTCTTATCACTTGAATATATTTTATGGATCTAACTAACTAGTGCTCGCACTCGCACAATTAAAAATATATAGAAAGTTTTTATTAAAATCTAAAATAATTTTTCATTGAAAATTCTCTACTTTCGATTTTTTAACAAGTGCACTAGGCCATGGACGCAGTACTGGTTAGCATTTTCCATATTTCATTTCAAACATTAATAAAATAGCTTGGAAGTTAGTTAGTGCAGTGGTCTCATTTAGATGTGACATGAAGTGTAGTGCATCTTCATTAAAACAATTAGAAAATTCAAAATTCCACCAATCTTTTAGGTTAATTGTGAGGCATTTCACTTTGTGGGCGAAATTCAGCAAGAAAAAAATAGTTTTGATTTCGAAAGTGGAGTGTAAAAAAAATGGACTTACGTGCAAAACGTGTTCTACGGGCACCATGATGCATGCATTAATGAAACACATATCACGATCAATATGCTATTTTCATTTCTAAAAATTACAGCGAGTCGCGTATTTTCTTTTATCGTGAATACAAAAATGGTGCCGGTGAGGGTAATTTCGTCCAAATGGACATTGACTTAGACATGGAATAGACATGTGAGTAGACAGCTAGGAATGTAAACATTAACAACTAGAACGACATGGGCCACGTGTAGCTTGCGTCGTTCAATTATCATCATGCATGTTTACTGGTTCACATTTTTGCACCCCTGACTTTTCGGAAAATGTTAAAATAACAAAAGATAAGCAAATTTTGTATAATTAAACAAAGGAAAAGCACACACATTAATTAACCAGCAATCGGATGAAAAAGGAACGTACCAAACGAAGCAGTGTGGAAAGTGGTCATGCCATCTATCACATTCTTTTTCCCTGTAATTACAGTTTTGCCCTTCCCGTCCCCTATGAACATCACATTCGTTTTCTTTCTCCCCACCTTTAAATTATTCTCCTCATACCTGAAAATTCCATCACATATGCCATAGCTTTTATCCATTACAATCATGCACCAGCATAAAACACGAATATTTTTTAATCACATGAACCAGCTTCTTTATTAACAGCAATGGATCACCATCATAATCTGATATGTTTCCTTTACCGGGGTCAAAAATATTTTTTTAATGCCAAAATAAATTGACGGGGATGGAGGCGTAAACATTGTTGGAAATTATGACAGAAAAACAAAATCCATCATCAATGATATCTTCACATCATTACACTAGCGACGAGCACATACATGCATGAATAACTTTTTCTAACAATAGTAACTCATCACCGACCGTGTTACCTTTTTTTCGGTACATATCATATCACCTTCAATTATGAAAACAGTTAAATAAAAACAAGAAAATATTATTAAAAAAAAGTGCAACGTTCGTTATCTCGAAATGCGTACACTTTTCACAGAGATAGAAAGCAGACATATTTTACTTACGTTATCTAAAAAAAAATAATTATATTCAGAAACTATTAATTTAATTACCTTCCTGCCCTCACATAAATGATGAACCTGCGAGTACCATGATCTGGTGCTTTCTTAATTGCCTCAGCAATTGTCTTCACTGTTCCGTCGCCATTCTTAGACACCGTTATATCTGCCTGAATCGCCGTCACAGGTAAACTCAGCAGTCTCCTATCTAGTTTATTCAACCATCTCGGGAATTTCTCCGTGATAACGCCGTTAACACTATCTTCTTCTCTTTCCATTAATCTTCTCCTATTCTGTATCGGCACCCCCGAGAAATCGCCACTTCCACTCGCCGAAAATATCGCGAGACAATTGCTCACGAGTTCGGACAAGTCCTTCAAGTTATTAGCCATCTGCCCCTTCACACTCCCGCTCGTGTCGTCGAACCCCTCCGCACACGTGTCCTGATTAGTGAGCGCGGCGCTCAGCCACGTCATCACATCTTCGGTAGAACCAGCAGCAGCGGGTCTGATCTCGCCGCTGCTGGGCACCATCGAAGACGAGAGGACGGAGTCGAGGGACCGCGTAAGTGCGTCCATCGACTCCTCCAATAGCTCGAGACAATCGTCGTATGCCGCGCGAACCTTGGGTTCCGTGGCGGCGAAGGAGAGTCCGCTGGAGGCGAAGAACGCCCGGCTTACATGGCGCAGGGTCATGTTGAATGAGATGTGGACGAGGTCTTGTTCCGTGGCAGTGGTGGAGCCAGGGAAGTCAAGGAGGGAGTTGATGCATAGAGTTGGGAAACGTGTCTTGCTGCATGTTCGGGAAATTGCCTGCAATAAGGAAAATTATATCAACCCATTAGTTCTTGTAAGAGATATACTTCTCTTCACAAATTCATATTCAAAGTCGAATTTTATCTTAATCTTTAATTAAAAAATATAAATATTAAACCACTTAAATTAATTACCTTTAATTGACTATTATGATAGTTACAACCCACAATGAATAAAAAAAATTTGATAATTAATGTACAGTATTACTTTTTTTTTTTTTTTCATACATGTTGAACGTCATTTTGTTGAATTTGACAATCCAGCAAAATCCGTGTTCAACATGATGAATTGGTGAATTAAAAATGTCATGAATTGAAAAATGTTGAGAAGCATATAAAATCGGGCCTTGCCTGTGTGGGTTTACGGGCGAGGTTCGGCCCATTTTGGTTGCCGGAGGCGTGGGAGCGGACTACGGTGACGATGGCGGCGGATACGGCGGCAGCGACGATTAAGACAACGGCGAGGAGAGAGAGCATTATGAGCTTTTTATTGGAGGAAGAAGAGGTGGAGGCTGATTTGGTGAGAGGAGTGGTGGAGCGGCGAGAGGAGCCACCTGGGTCGGAGGGTCCCAATTTGCCATATTCCATGTTGCGTTGTGAGGGAAAGGGAGTGTCGATCGAGGTAGTTTCTGGTTTTCGTTGAAGTGGGAGGGTGCGGCTTTTATAAATGGCGGTGCTAGCAAGATTGAATTAATTGGTTTTGGGAGTGTAGTGAGTGTTAATATTAGTGACACTGTTAATGTGAAAAATGGAAGGTTGGTGTGAAGTCGACGTCGTAGGAATTAGCTGGCTGCTACTTCCAACGTTGCCCACTGGATGAGGATATATGGTTTAGTGAGTTTTCTTAAGGCTTTTTCCCTACCTATTGCATGTCTCGTCCTTAATCTATTTTATATTATATATTATTGATGTATGCTTGTTGTTGGTTCGTGGTGTGTTGGAATTGTTTTACGTCAATGAGTCAAGTCATTAATTGAACTAAAAAAATGTTTGTCAGTGTTAATTTAGTTAATCAAATATACATTTATCAATGAAAACTATTGGCTTAAGTGATTGGACAATCATCGTTTGTTTATAAAGATTAATATTTTTCTCTTGACTTGTATATAAAGTTATGGTTAAAGATATTATTTTATTTGTATAGTAGTTAATCTGAAGACAATGAGTTATATATTCTTATGTAATAAAAAAAATGTTAATAAAACACCAACAATCATTAGAGGTGGATGGTGCATGGTTGGAGTCGAATTGATACAGGAAAATTTATATTTGATTTTTATTGATGTTGTTGTAATTTTTTATATATTAAAAATGAAGAATTCTTTTTATAAATGGTTGAAAATTTCATTTTCATGTTCTTGTGAAAATAATTTCTAATCACGTGGATGAAGAATATTTTGTTTAAAATTAAAAATATATTGGGGCGTGTTTGTAATACTCTTTTTTAACACTTTTATTAACACTTTATTTATTATTAATTGAAATTTATTAAAAAAATCATAAATTTTATAGATGCTATATTTCATTTAGAATAATCTCTAGCTGTTTACTAAAAAAATTTATCAAAATTCATGATGGTATAGAAATTAATAGAGTTGTGAATGTTAGAGGGGTTGTGCTAACATTTCTAAATCTTGAATATTTCGAATATTTTATTTGATCTTGGAATACAATGGATGGCCTTAAGGACTGTATGAAATTTGCAGTACGTTATCTTTACGAATATTAGTGAAGAAAGGGACGTGCATGAGTTTCTTAACTATTAAGCCAAATCTCCAATAACATCTTTGTCGTGTCCAATTTCCGATGTAGTTTATTGACTCCTTTCTACTGTTAATCATGTCCAAAAGTTGCCACTAATCTCCTTATTATACGTTCTCAACCTTACAAGCTAGAATTGGCTCTTTTAGCTCACTTTTTTACTTTATTAGAAACATCGTTGCTTAGGAAAATAGTTTTTCGCACAAAACTTTTTCTACACTTTCTATAACATTAAGAAAAGAGAGTGCTTTAAAAAATTGTGCTTTTGTTATTTTTGTACTAAGCAAGGAAGTGATACGAGAAAGATATACAATGGAAATAATATATAGTTATTCTTATTATTTATTTATTTATTTATTTTATCTTTCATTTTATTTTCATCCCATTTTTAATTTTATGTCTCTTCATTTTTTTTATTGTACATAATATCATTTATTATTTGTGAATTTTTTCTCTTTATTTTTTTATTTCTATATTTTTTTTTTCTTTTTTATTCATGTACCCCAAAAGTATATTGTATCAGATTGAGGGTACACTAATAAATTTGTCTTAACAAGTTCTAAACTCCTTACTGATTGATAACTAAAAAGGACGAAGCTTATCGATAAACAATACTCCAATACTTAATTCAAAATGGATTCAAATATTTAGGTAGATATAGTAGTTTTATTTCAATTAGTGTAACTATTTATATTGATCATAACTTTGTTAGACTTTGTTCCATGATTGCTAATTTGTTAATACAACTACTAATTAATATGATGAGCTAATTTCCTAATCTCATTTACTTCTCTTAGATTTGATAGTATCGGCTCTAAGCTCACTACAAAAAAACGGTGAATAAGCGGCAAAAAATAAGCGTCGGCTAATAGCTGACACAAATAGTGTCGAAAAAGCCGATGCTATTTTAAGATATAGCGTCGACTTTTGCGATGCTAAACTTAAAATAAATTTAAATTAAATATTTTAAGTTTAGCGTCGGAAAAGCTTACGCTATTATTTAAATATAGCGTCAGCTTTTTTTACGCTAAACTTAAAATATTTAATTTAAATTTATTTTAAGTTTAGCGTCGGAAAAGCCGACGCTATTCTTTAAATATGCGTCGGCTTTTTCGACACTAATTTAATTTTAATTTAAATTAAATTAGTGTCGGAAAAGCCGACGCATATTTAAAGAATAGCGTCGGCTTTTCCGACGCTAAACTTAAAATAAATTTAATATAAATTTATTTTAAGTTTAGCATCGAAAAAATCGACGCTATATTTAAATAATATACGTGTTTTGAGAGAGATAAAAATAATTTTTTCAATGTTATATACACATAATGTGTTCTAGTACACTTGGTTATCAAGTTCACTTAAGACCTCAAGGTGCACGGATCAAGTCCCAGGAATGTTAAAATACGACCGAATAAATGATATGCGAGAAAAAGAAGATAAAGAAAAAAACAAAATAAATTTTGTGTTAACATAGTGTCGGCTTAACTGACAATAAAAAATTAAAATAAATAAATTTGTTAGTGATAGCTTAGCCGACATAAAAAAAATTGTGTCAACTTATTTAGCATCGATCAAAAATTAACAATATTACGTCAGTTTTTATGATTTAGAGTCGACTTTTGACCGACTCTAAATTGAAACATTCTTGTAGTGGCTCATTCGACGGTTGAAAGCACTAAGATTGCTTAAACATGTTATACACATAAGGATGAACGTATCCTAGACTGTTTCAACAATCTTAGCCATCGAGGGACCCAAGGCTAAAGCTATAGTATGAAATATTACCTTTATTCATGATGTTATCATTAGTTATCTCGAGAGTCGATATAAATGAGAGATCATAGTATATCATCTAGTTCCTTTGCAGTATATATATATATATATATATATATATATATATATATATATATGTGTGTGTAAATTGCTTAGAGTTTACTCAATAGAAAATATAAAATAGTTGAGACAGTTGACAAAATAATTAACATGAGAAATAAATTCAACTTCTTTCTAATTTTAAAACAATATTAATATTTACAAGAAAATTCCCCATAATTTTTTTTTTTTAGTAAAACTTAAAAATGAAAATAGATTTTATTCATTTGTTAATAATGGACATTTTTTCATATTATTATTTGAGTCCAATGCTCTTTCTTGTGCACATATATTTTATTATATATTAAATAAGAATATATTAAAGAGGATGATATCTAAAATTGAAAAATTAGAAAATAAATTTATTGAATCTGCTCACTTCCACCTTTATGGATATGATTGATAAAAAATTTATTTTAGAATAAATTTAAATTTAGTCTTGACTCTTGAGTGATATTAAAGTAATTTTATAAGAAAGATATATATTTGCTATTATATAATGTATTTAAATTTAAATTCAAATTAAAAGAAAATAGCATTATTTTAAATTCATAAAATACAAAAATAAAATTACTTGCTCAATATAAAAGAAGCTATGTGAACTAATGAGAAGAAAATCTAAAATTACTATTAAGAGTAAAGATTAACATTTAAAATATAATAGTTATATATATTTGGAGTTGTCAAACAATTTGATATAGTCTGCACAGGTTGAATGTTGCTTTTGCACCTACTTAACCTATATTATTTTTAAACTGTTATATTTTTAGCTCAACTTGTTACATATGCATGGAGTCATCAGGTCAAATTGCTTCTAATTAAAATTTAATAAACATTAAAAATATTTAGATCAAACATAAAAATTTAAACCAATTTTTTAAAACGAAAAAAATGTATATATAACAAAAGGAATAAATCTAAAATTTATTTATTAAGCTTGTCAATTTTGTTGTTTGATAGATTTGAATGCATTATAGATTATTAATCTAAATAAGTTGTTCCATGTCCACGATGACTAACTGAGCATGTAATATTATTGTTTCACAATTTGAATGTGTGTGATTAGTTAAAAATTACTTTATTGGACAGAATAAATATAATTATTCTGTGTGCATGTTAATTATGTCAATTTAAAATTGTGTTATGAAAAAGGATAAAAAGATGAAAAAAGACATGACAAAAGTTTTATCTTTTTTATTCTATAAATTATGGGAAACTTTTTGTTTTTCAAAGATAAAAATATTTATCACCCTAGTTTTGTACTAATAACAATTTGATTCTAATTATTGTTTTTTAACACTATTATTGTCATAGTCTATTATCATTTTAATGATCATCATTATTATTATTATTGTTATTATTATTATCAATTTTATTATGAATATAATTCCTGTTAAAATAAAGATAATAACAATAATAATTTATTAAGATAATTAATATTAAAAAGATACCGTAATAAATTTAATATTATTTTATTTATTAAAAAAATGCAAAACAAAAAATTATTCCTTGCACATTTTTCATATAATGTTTTCTTAGTCTTGTAACTTATTTCCATAATTATCGTTTGTAACTTGAACTTTATCAAATAAATATGTTAAGGGGATTAAAAAAAAAAACAAATTAGAAACAGCACTGATGAGGAGGCACATCATTGTAACTTGAGGACCAAACAATGAGTTAGGCAGTTTAGTAAAAAAAATATTTGCTGTAATATTTAGTAACTCACATATATAATATATAACCATATAAGTAATTATTAATTAATTTAGTTTCTTTTTTACCAACCCTAAAGCTTATGGGTCAGCTTGGCCATAATCCATTTGGCCTGTTAAACGAAGCAAACTAGACCTAAAAATCAGATTGTATTCAAGTCATTTTTTAAAGATCTAATTTGCCTTATTTATGAACCGACTGGACCACCCTATTGAATTGGGTCTAAATTAACATCTCAAGATATTTTACAACTTGTTAATATAATTATTAATTAGTTACTCACTTTATATATTTAATTAAAAATTAGCAAAATTCTCGAAAGAAAAATCCAGGATTTAACATAATTACTCAAAGTTTTGATAAATGAAGATAATGGAGTACGTAACTAAATCCATAAATTCTTTCAACCAGCAAACAAAAGAATATAAAATGAAATAAAATATGATGCGTGACCAAGGA